AGAAAAAAGCCAGAAGTGGCTCTGTGGCTCAAGTGGTAGAGCGCTAGCCTTGAGCTGAAGAGCTGAGGGACAGCGCCCAGGCCCAGAGTTCAGGCCCCGCGACCGGACCCAAAAAAAAAAGAAAGAAAGAGAGAGAGAGAAAAGAGAGAAAAAGAAAGAGGGAGACAAAGATTTGGGTGTAGATTCTGGGGAGTATATGGAGGAGGGTGCCCACCTGTATCTGGCAGAGGTCCAGCAGGATATGGACGCCCAGCAGGCACCAGAGCTCACCCAGCAGGGAGACAAGGATGCCCAGGAGGTCCAGCCAGCGGCCCACAGTCAGCAGCAGCACGAAGAGGCCACCCATACGCACAAGAACTGTCTGGACCTGGCTCTGCAGGCTGAAGCGCTGATGCCGCTGCTCTTCTACAAGACAGGCCCCACCTGTCACTACCGACCACTGCCATACCCAGGCCTGGCTGAGCCAGCCTGGACCTCTTAGCTGCCCAGCCTGCTCCCAGCCTTCCTCCCTGCCCTCCTCAACCCAGTTCTTCTTTGAGCAGCACGGGGAGCCCAGGCCTACCTCCCAGGAGGCCTTACTCTGCTGGGTGAGGCCTGAGCCCTGGTGCCTCTGGCTGTACAAACCTTTGCTGATCACCCAGCCACTTCACCAAAGCTTAATAGAAGTCCCACGCTCCTACACCACATCCTTGTCCCTTCCACCTTCCTCTCTCCAAAGCCTCTCATGGCTCCTGGCTTCTATTGTTTTCTTCTATGCATATGCCCCCAGTCCTCAGGCTTGAACTTGGGGTCTTGGCATTGCTCTAATCTGATTTTTTGCTCCAGGCTAGTACTTTAGCTTTTTAGTGGTTAATTGGAGATAAAGAGTCTCACCAATTTTCCTGTCCAGGCTGGCTTTAAACAGTGATCCTCAGATCTCAGCCTCCCTGCATAGCTAGGATTACAGGTGTGAGCGGCCAGCACCCCACATGGTTTTTTCATTTCTTTGAATTGGATCTCTCTACCTGTGTCTAGACTGGCCTCAAATGCAAGCTCATGCTTGCTTCTAGCTCTTGAGTGCTGGGAATACAGGCAAGTGCCATTATGCTCACCTGGCTTCTGTTCCTGACATTATAATCCAGTCGCTACTGATCAGCTAGTGACCTTTTAGCCATATCAACCAGATGAAGCTGTTCCCCTGTTTATAACCCTCCCAGGACTTCCTGTTGAGTTTAGAGTAAAATCCAAACTTCTCTCTATACTGACATGCAAGGTCTTGCTTGCTGTGGCCTGAGCCACTTCCAATTTGTAGCTGACTCATTCCCCGCTGCTTCCTACACTTCCTCTTTGCTCATTGGACATATTGAGCGCATTCCCACTTTAGGGCCTTTGCACTTGCTGTTCTTTCTGCCTGGTCCTGCAGCTCCCACCCCATCCTTACTCTGCAGCCAGGTGGCTTATCCCAGACGCCACATCTAACCAGATCCCTTTTCCTGCTTGGGATTCTGCAGTGGTTTCTCATCACACTGCCCAGCCTGGTTGATCAATGGGGTCTTTAAGAATGTGGCCAGCCTTCCCCAACACCTCTACCCCATGCCCTTTGGGTATACTGGTGTATGCTGCACATGGGCAACTCCAGCTGCTCTGAAATGCCCCACCAGACTGTGTCTGTCCCAGACCAGGATGGCAGAGCTGGGGTCTGAGCCTGGGGCAAACAGTGGGCTGTGACCACCAGTCGGGAGCATGCAGCTTCTTGGCCCTCACCCTGCATGTAGATGACCAGCAGTGCATAGCAGATGGTGAGTGGTGTCCAGAAACGCACAGCCTCTGAGGTGCTCAGGAAGTCCCGGTTGATGAGGGCCACGGCTGCCAGGTCACCCACGGCAAAGGCCACGGCCAGAGAGCGGCCCAGCAGCCTGGGGAGACGGTAAGCACCGGCCAGCAGGCCCAGGCAGACCCCGCAGTAGTTCTGGCTGCTGTGCAGTTCGTAAAGACAGAAGACGTGGCGGCGGAGGCGCTGGGCACTGGAGCCCAGCAGTGCAGCCAGCCCCAGGCTCAGCAGCAGGTTCAGTGTGCGGTGAGGGGCGCCCTCCTGCAGGAAGCTCAGCCCGCAGCTCAGGCCGCAGCCCAGTGAGTACTGGCACAGCAGGTAGAGCTTCAGGTGTTCTGTGTTCCCAGGGCCCTGTGGGAGAGGCGGCTGCTGGGGGCTGTCATGTCACACAGGCTCCACTGCAGGAGGCTGGGGGGGCTGAAGGACCTGGAGAGCCTTCCAAAGAGGGGGAGCCCTGACTTTGGGATGGGCCCTAGTGGAGGGTTTCCACTTGCCCATCTGACTCCTGGAGGATGACCATCAGAGCCCAGAAGACTTGGCTTCAAACTCAAGTTGTTGGGATGGGTATACCTGTAATCCCAGCACTAAGGAAAAAGGATCATGAGGTCAAGGCCAGCCCAGGCTACAGATCATGAGCCTGTCTGGCCAAATACTGATGCCTTACTCCTGTAATCCTCGCTACTTAGGAGGCTGAGATCTGAGGATCACAATTTGAAGCCAACCCAAGGCAGGAAAATCTGGGAGACTCTTTTCTCCATTAAACCACACACACACACACCCAGGAGTGGTGTTATTGCTCAAGTGGTAGAGGACTAGCCTTGAGTATAAAAGCCCAGACCCAAAATTCAGGCCCCAGAACAATAACAAAAAAAAAGCCTGTCTCAGCTTGGGTGCTGGTGGCTCACGCCTATAATCCTAGCTACTCAGGAGGCTGAGATCTGAGGATCTCGGTTCAAAGCCAGCCCTGGCAGCAAAGTCCATGAGACTCTTAACTCCAATAAACCACCAGAAAACCGGAAGTGGTGCTGTGGCTCAAGTAGTAGAGCGCTTGCCTTGAGCTGAAGAGCTGAGGGACAGTGCCCAGACCCAGAGTTCAAACCCCAGGACAAAAAAAAAAAGCTTGTCTTAAAATAAAAACCTCCTAGACTCCATCCCTGCTGGCTGTTGACTGTGGGCTCCGGCTGAGCCTTAGTTTCCTTACCTAGAACAAAAGATCACATCAAGCCCTTTGCTCCTATGGCCATGGGGACTATGTGTGTGTGTGGGGGCGTGCACACATGAGCGTGCTGTGTGGGTATACCAGGGCTTGAACTCAAGCCTCATGCTCTTACTTAGCTTTTACACTCAAGGCTGGAGCTCTACTATTTAGCTATAGCTCTACTCCTGGCTTTTTTTTGGCAGTCAATGGGAGATAAGAGTCTCACAGACTTGGGTTGGGGAGGTGGCTCAGTGGTAGAGCGCTTGCCTTGCATGCCTAAGGCCCTGGGTTCGATTCCTCAGCACTACATAAGCAAAAAAAGAAAAAAGCCAGAAGTGGCGCTGTGGCTCAAGAGGTAGAACTCTAGCCTTAGAGCTGAAGAGCTGAGGGACAGTGCCCAGGCCGAGTTCAGGCCCCACGACTGGACCAAAAAAGAAAACAAAAAAAGAGCCTCACAGACTTTCCTGCTGGAGCTGGCTTTGCGCCTGGTACCTCAGATCTCAGCCTCCTGAGTAGCTAGGATTACAAGCCTGAGCCACTAATCCCCAGTCAGGCTGTGGGGATTAATGAATGCTGATTAATGAATGAATGAATGATGTTCCAAGCCTGGCTTTGGGAAGCTTGGTATCCAGATCCAGTTTCTTTTTCTTGGTATCTGCTGGGAGTGCAGATGTGACTTAACCCTCGACAACCCAGGGAATAGGCAACTGCTCCTGGTCTGAACCCGAGGGAGGAAGGGGCTCCAGTGAACAATCCTCCTCAGTCCACTCCTGTGCTCTCACCTTGTTCAGGGACAGCAGTGTGGACACAGCCCGGAGGGAGAACTCCAGCACCACCAGGGCGGCCACCCGGGCCCCGACTACCGTCAGGATCAGGGCCAGCCCTACCAGGTGCACGGGCTCCAGCCAGGCCCACTGCGCCCGCAGGCGCTCCTTCTCAGGCTGCCGCTGGGGGGCACTGTGGGGAGGGGACACCGTGGGGAGGGGGCACTGTAGGAAGCAGGTGCCAGCACCCCCCCGGGGGGGGGCCCAGCCACCCACCAGGGGAGGCGTGCTCCTCCCAGCACTCCCCAGAGAGGCCAGGGTCCCCACAGGACCCCCTCCCCCTTCATATCCCCCTCCCCCCCCCACTCACTTGGCACAGCCCACGAAGAAGTACACTTTCAAGACGCTGCTCAGAACCGAGACTCCAAATGCTCCCACCAGGCCTGGGACGGGGCAGGCAGGGCCAGAGGAGGCCAGGAGGCCGCCGCAGGTGGAGGCATGGAGTGTGGGTGCAGGCACAGGTTAGCTCAGGGCCATGTGGATAGGGGGAGCCCACGTGGGAGGGACCTGCCACGCCCACCCGACAGGGGCCGGGCCCAGGCGGGAATGGAGAGGGCACTCACCTTGCAGGAGGCTGTCCAGGAGATTGGAGCCCCATTCCAGGGATGGGAGGCTGGGGAGCCAGGCAGAGAGGGACAGCAGGGAGAACATGGCAGCCGGGACCGGCCCCAGCCACCAGCTAGTTCGGCCCAGGGACAAGACCTAGTGATGTCACTGGGCAAAGGTATGGGGACTGGCAGTGGGGAGGAGCCAGGAGAGGTCAAAGGCCAAGTGGGGGGAGCCAGGGGCCTTAACCCTTGAGGGCTGTGGGAAGGAAGGCCCAGGCTGGGGTTCAGGGCCCCTGGCTGCCCCCCCTGCCCTGTCCAATGTGGGCGGTAGGCACAGGGGTGTCTATGGGCCTCTGTCCTACTCAAGTCCGGCGTCCACCTCTTTCTCCTCCCTCAGGGTTTTGAGCCTCACACTCCTTTCTGAAGCCCACCTATGCCGGTCCTGCGCAGTTTCAGCCTAGGTGTGGTCTGTCCTTCGCGGTGAAGTAAGGGTCTCCCCTAGCGGAACACCAGGCTCTGTCCGAGGGGCTCCATGAAGCCCGAGGTCAGGGTCTGCTCTCTCCACGTGAGGCCTGAGGCCTCCCACTGCCTGGTGTCAGGTTCTGCCATCTAGCACCCAGCGGCCAGGCTTTGTCCTACATCTCTCCCAAACCGAGATCAGGCTCTGCCCTCAGCCCAAGGTCTGGATTCTCCCATGGCCAGCTGTCAGGCTCGAGTCTGCTTCCAGCCAGTGGGCAGGTTTGGACTCTTCCCCCAGCTGAGGTCACTGCAGGGGCGCTGTGACCTCGCGCTTACATTCTTCCATCGCCCACTAGGTGGCAGGCCTCACCTGGCCAGATGAGGTAGGGCTGGCTGTTGGAAACCTTTCCAGTCCTCCACCCTCCCTTCTTTCCCAGAAAGAGCCAGAGCTAGGATGAGGTTTCACGAGAGCAGCTAAGTACAGAAGAGACACAGAAGTAAACAAAAGTAAAAAATAAAAAAAAAACACTTTTATTGGAGTGTACATGGGGGTTGCTTCTGGGAACAGCTCCTCACCCTTGGGGAAAAGCTGCTTGACCCTGAGCTGGCCTTGTCCTGCTTGGTGTCTCTGTAGTGCAAAACTTAACTCCAGCTTTCTAAAGTAGCCCATGGTGGGGTGTGGCTGCAGTATGGAGTCTTACTAGACTCTGCCTTCTATTCTCTGGGTCACCAGTAGGTCTTCAATAAAAAAAAAAAAAACCCTGGGTAGTGTCTGAGCTGAACTGTGTCCTCTCAAATTCAGTGCTGAGGGCTGGGAATATGGCTTAGTGTCTGTAGAGTGCTTGTGTAGCATGCATGAAGCCCTGGGTTTGATTCCTCAGTATCAAACAGAAAAAGCCAGAAGTGGCTCTGTGGCTCAAGTGCTAGAGTGCTGTCTTGAGCAAAAGAAGCTCAGGGACAGTGCCCAGGCCCTGAGTTCAAGCCCAGGACTAGCAAAAAAAAAAAAAACAAAAACGACAGATGAAGTACTGAAGCCCAGTCCTGCCCCACTAGAGATAGGAAATGGCCTGTCAGTTAACATGAGGTCCCGGGTCCAACATGACTGTTAAGCTTTTCATATTTCTTGTACCAGTAGTGGGGCTTGAACCAGAGTCTCATGCTGCCCCTTAGCATTTATTTATTTGCTTAAGGCTGGTGCTCTATCACTTGAGTTTGAGTTACATCTCTTCCAGCTTTTTGCTGGCTAATCAGAGATGAGTCTCCCCAATTTGTCTGTGCCAGTTAGATTCAAACTTTGATTCTCAGAGCTCAGCCTCTTGGTTAGCTAGGATTACAGGTGTGAGCTACTAGTACCTACCTGGGCTGCTAAGAAACAGCTGGGACCTACATACACACAGGTCAGGAGAGAACACAGTAGGACATTGGGCTGGCACAGCATATGCCTAGCATGCTATAAAGTAATGAAACTAAACAAACCCTCCCGAATGCTTGGATCTCAGACTTCCAGCCTCCTGAATGTGAGAACCGTTTCTGTAGTTCCAGTCAGGGCAGCCATGGAAGACCTCACGGCCTCACCGGGGAATCCTTGGGGCTCCTCGTGTGGACAGTACCCCCTAAGGGACACCCAGCCCCATGGTCCTGGTATAGTAATGCCCTTGTCCTGCCACTTGAAAGCTGTGTGGCTTTGGCCAGGGCTGTGCCATGCTAAGCCTCAGCTTCTTTGTAGTCAAAGAGGATTTTAGCATCACATTAGAACTGATACAGAGTCACTCAGCTCATGATGCTGTTCCAGCCACAGCTGTTACTATGATAACAAGCAAGGTGCTGGGAATCAGTGACCCAAGACAGAGAAGGGATTTGAAGGCTTAGAGTGGAGCCTGGGGTTGTCTGCACTCTCTCCCAATCTGTTTGTAGGGCCTTGGGCCTGAGTCTGTGGCTGGTCCTACTGGAGCAAGCCATGTCCTCTGTCCAAGTGCCAGACTGTGTCAGGAGGTAGGGGTCTGACCAGTGTCAGGCCTAGGTGCTTTGGTGTTGGGTCTTCCTGGCCAGTTTCCGTAGCTCATCCCAGAAAAGCATGCTGAGGATGGTATGAGGTCCCAGTCGCAGATAGGCAGGGCCCAGACCCTTGTAGAGTGCCAGAGGACCCTCTTGCCGGCAGGTCTTCACCAAGCAGTCAGCAAGGCCCTTGTACAGCTCACCCTGGGAACACACAAGGACAGGGGTCACTGCAAGGGCTGGTAGGCCCCCCACTGGCACAGCCAAGTGTCTGAGTGCTCAGGGCTCTGGCAGGCACTGGTCCAGCTGGGAGGATGATAAGTGACCGCTCAGGAGCCTTCAGACAGACACAGTCCCTGCCAGGGAGCGCAGTGGGGCTAATGGCACATGGGCACCTTTGTCTTGGTCACATGGAGGCCAGCAGTGCCAGGGGAAAGCAGCTGTTCTGTCTTGGCTCCTCTGTTTACAGATGGTGAGTGACATTCTCAAGAATGTCACTTGACCTCTCTGACCCTCAAATTCAGCAACAGGGCAAAAAATGAAATCCTCAGCAGGAGCCAGTGCTGGACACCTGTAAGGCTAGTGCTCAGGAGGCTAAGATCTGAGAATTACCATTTAAAACCAGCCTGAGGGGCTGGGAAGGTGGCTCAGTGGTAGAGTGCTTGCCTCACATGAGGCCCTGGGTTCGATTCCTCAGCACCACATAAGCAGAAAAAGCCGGAAGTGGTGCTGTGGCTCAATCTGTAGAGTGCTATCCTTGAGCTGAAGAGCTGAGGGACAGTGCCCAGAGTTCAGGCCCCATGA